AAAAAAAAAAAAAAGAAAGAAGAAATAGGCTAGTCATGATTTTGCTTCTATTATGTTAATTTTTTAAATAAAATTACACGCATAGGTTAGGCACAGTGATTCACACATATAATCTTAGCACTTTGGCAGGCTGAGGTGAGAGGATTACGTAAGGCCAGGTATTCAAGAAAAGTACATGTTGGCTCAGCTCCTGTAGCACAGTGGTTATGGCGCCAGCCATATATACCAAGGGTGGCAGGTTCAAACACAGCCCGGGCCAGCTAAAACAACAATGGCAACTGCAACAAAAAATAGCTGGGCGTTGTGGCAGGCACCTGTAGTCCCAGCTACTTGGGAGGCTGAGGCAAGAGAATCACTTAAAGCCAAGAGTTTGAGGTTGCTGTGAGCTGTGATGCACTCTACTGAGGGTGACATAGTGAGACTCTGTCTCAAAAAAAAAAATAAAAAGAAAATTATATGTTATGTAATTGTTATCTTTGTCTAATTAGAAGAAACATGACTCTGGCATTCCCTGTGACAAGAATAAATCTGTTGGGAGCAAGGAGTACCTCCCCACAACTACCACCAAAAAAAAAAAAAAGTAAACAAAAACCCCTTGTCAATATCTCAGGACTGGGAATTAGGGAACTAGGGTCCTAAAAATTATTTCCAAAGCAACCTTATATCCTTGCTGAATCTATCCTGTCAACCTAGTGCTTCCCCTGAACACTAACCAACCCTTTATGTTCATGACAACCCACAAGGAAAATATTCCAGGCAGGCAGGTTTAAACCTGGCCCCGGCCTGCTAAACAACAATGACAACTGCAACAAAAATATAGCTAGGTGTTGTGGTGGGCACCTATAGTCCCCGCTACTTGGGAAGCTAAGGCAAGAGGATCGCTTAAGCCCGAGAGTTTGAGGTTGCTGTGGGCTGTGTCGCCACGGCACTCTACCAAGGGCAACTAAGTGAGACTCTGTCTCAAAAAAAAAAAAGAAAGAAAGAAAGAAAGAAAATCTCCCCAGCTTGGAATTTCCTTTTTGAAGGATAGTGTTGGCAGAGTGCATGCTGTTGAGAAAGTGGTGCCTTCCAAAGGAAAGAATAATCCCAGTTCCTTTTTATTTAACTTTTTTTTTTTGCAGTTTTTGGTCAGGGCCGGGTTTGAGCCCGCCACTTCCGGTATATGGGGCTGGTGCCCTAGCCCCTTGAGCCACAGGCACCACCCCCATAATCCCAGTCCTGAAAGAGCTAAGCAAGGGCAGCAGGACTTCTGGGCAAAGGTGGGGAGGGGATGGCTTGGGGCAATAGGGCAGAGGCCTTGAGCACAAACTTAGGCTAAACTTCAGGAGTTAGGTAGGTTCTGGAAAAGAACAAAAGATAATGGTTTAGACACCTCTATCTGGTGACTGGGTTACAGTCACGAGATTGAGGTGACAGCACTTTCCCAAAGGAGTACAAAGAGAGAGGGGAGCTGGAGAATGGACCATCTGGGGTTTGGGCGATCAACCAGAATGAGGAACTAGTTTAGGCAAACATTCTCAGGAACTATGCTTGAAAATAGTTGGTGCAAGCCAGAAGCTTTCCTCCTCTTGATAAATTTTAAAGAAAAGCCCAAGATTCTCACACTTCTCTCCCTCATCCTCCACTCTTCCCAGGTTGATGTCCAACAGATAACCAGAAATGAGATTTGCACACTCCGACCTGAGTCAGAATACAGATCCCAGAGGCAGACACCCACGTACACACTAGTGTTAGCCATATCCTTTTATTGAGCCAATTGGATAGGGGTTAATGATGAGGGCGTTCTTATTCCCCACCACAGTGTCCTGCCAAGAGCAGACCAGGGCTCAGCAGCTGCTGCAGTCACTGGGGTAGACATCCCAGTGCAGCCCGATGGCATCAATGACGGAACCAGCTCGGCCACTGATGAATCGGAGCACAGTGTTGGGGTGCAAGGGGACGGCATTGAAACTAGTGCCGGTGTCTTTCCCAAAAGGCAGGTAGCGGCCCTTGTCTGTCACAAAGACCATCTTCCTCAGGTAGTTCTTGTACTTGCCAGACACCTGGATCACTGATTCTCCAGGGTGGAGAAAGATCTCCTCCAGATCTCCACTGGTGCCGCCCACATAGTCACTCCACACCTTGCCATAGCGCACCTGAAGACTGGGGGCAGTAGGGAGGGAAGAAAGAAGAGGAGACACTCAGAGTGCAGGCTTGTCAGAATTCAGGACATTGGTGACAGGGATGACAAATCTCCAGCTAGTCCTAGAAGATCACATAGGGAAATCCAACTCCTCCTTTTGCTGACAAATGGGCTGAATGAAGATAAACAACTTGCCCAGAGTCACCCCAACAGCAAGTGTCAGAGCCTGAATTTAAAGTCCAGGCTTTTACCATGATGACCCCATCCCCCATACGGAAGCAGTAAAGAGATTTTCAAACATCTGAAAGGCTCCCATGGGGGAAAGGGAAGACATTTGTCTGTGCTGTCCCAAAATGCAGATCCCGGATCAGAAGGAGACACATTTTGGCTTTGCATATGATGGAATGTTCCAATGTGAATAGCTCAGGAGAGGCAACAAGCAAGGATGGAGGATGCCTGGAGGGGATACGGCACAGGAGGTCAAAACCTCAGGTGGGGGCTGAACTAGACAATTTCCAGGCCCTGAGAGTTTATGGTTTTATGATTTGCCAAACAAGGTCAATTGTGTTGGGAGAGGTGGGGGTTGTTGTGCAGATCTAAAGCTCTCTAACTACTTTTAATAATACAATTATATAATACAATACCAGATTGTATTATACCTGTGACTTGCTGATTAAAACAGAGGTAACCCAAAGTGAATAAGAATTTCCCAGTTCAGTAAGATCCTACAGGGTCCCGAACCACAGAAACTCAAAGCATCTTACCCTACAATGTAGTATCTGTTGACTCGGACACGAATGGCAGTGATGGGGCCTTCCAGCTGGTTGCCAGAATGGGAGAATCGCTTTCCTCCACCACCTCCGTACTCTCCACTGTAAGAGGAGGATCTAGCCTGGACTGGAGCGGAGAGTAGGAGTTGAAGGGAGAAACCCCTGGGAGCCCAGTTTCTCCCCACCACCCCTGTTCCTTCCACCACTCGGTTCCTACTGCCCAAGTCAGCCTCTGAAAGCCTGGGCCACCAGCAGTGCCAGGGCTGCCTTCCCATGCCCTGTGACCAAGCTCCTGGTGTCTCACTTACTAGCATTGGCAGAGGCTGAGGCACAGAGAAGGGCTATGAGAGCGATGGTCAACATTCTGAGGCTGGAGTGGGAAGAAAGGAGAAAAATGAAGGTTTACCCTCTCTGGACTGTTTACCCAGGTACTTCTGTTTTAGATTCAGACTTCTTGGTCCAACAGCTCAGAGCCAGCAGACCCAGTCTTGAGCTTAGGACCATCCATAGTCTATAATCCTGTTCCTTCCAGATACTATCTTCTATTCCCTAACACTTTAGCTCTCCCTGGTCTGGCTGTAGCCAACCCCTCCTCTTCTTTCCCAAGCCAGGAGATCAACCTTAACCCTGTCTCCAGATTAAGCTGTGTCAAGCTTCATTTTATTCTGGCACAAAGCAGGAGAGGAGCTTTCTCCAGAGCAGGTGGAGGTCATCTCCAAAGTATAGAGATATCGAGTTGACCAAACATTTGAGCACATCCCCTCTGCCAATAGTAGACTGTAGGGCATCTGGGGCACGGTTTAAATCCCTGGCTTCCTCCTGGTCTCAATTCAGAAGGAAAGGGACATTTTATTTTTTTATTTTTTATTTTTTTTGAGACAGAGCCTCAAGCTGTCCCCCTGGGCAGAGTGCCGTGGCATTACAGCTCACAGCAACCTCCAACTCCTGGGCTCTAGCGAGTCTCCT